TCTCTCTCTCTCTCTCCTCCCTCCTCTCTCTCTCTCTCTGGCATATCTTTTAAATAAAATCTTTCATGGCTTTTTTCATTCTATTTCAATGGTTGCTTCTTCATTTGCTCCCAATTTTACCAGTAATTTCCCTGACAATTATTCCAGTTCTCATATGCCATCAGGTCATGACACCGCGGGACATGTTCCATCACCGTTTACATTTTCATACTATTCGGCTAATCAGGTGAATTGCGCTAACAGTAATAGTAATAATATGTACAGATGTCCGGTACCTCATATAGCTTCCCAACAATCTCCTCTTCCTAATTCGAGTATTTGTCGAAGAAATGTAAGTTCCAACTTTCTTTTTTTTTCTCCCCTCCCCTCTCTACCATACTTTTATAAATAAGTAATTAAATTAATTAATAATTTAAAAAAAAAAGAAAAAACAAATCTTGAATAGTAAATGTTTAAGTTAAGAGAATTTCAATTCAAATTTCAAGAGAATTTCATAGGATTTCAATTTAAATATTTCGTTCCTAATATTGATAACATACATTTAATTCAATTCGAAACATAAATTCAATAATTTTTTTAAATAAATTTAAAATTTGTTCTAATTATATTTCATTGTAAAAATTATGCAAATTTTGATAATTTAATTTTTTTATTATTTTAAAATTTCAAAAATATATAAATTCAATAGATAGCGCCATTAAGTCTAACTGTAAATGATGCGTCATTATCGCTTAAATCTAACCAGTATTTCCTTTTTTTTTTTTCCTACCGATCAGAGGGAAGAGATGGATAAAAAGAGAAGAAAGGAATTTTGTACTCCTTAAATTTGTTTGCTTGTTTGTTTATTTATTTGTTTAATTCTTTGATGTTTCCGAAAAGAGACAAAGATGACAGACGGATTGCTTAGATGGCATATCTAATAATACATCAATTACATGACTTATACACAACTTTCTTTTTTATTAATACATAATAATTCGTAATTAACGATTGTTATCAGTTATTGCTTGTTTATTTACTTTTAATAATGATAATATGATATGATAATATTAATTTTGTCAGATTTTTCATTTTCTTCTTTACTCAATTTTAATCATAACTAATTATGTTTGTTTATCCAGATTTTATAAACATCTCTGCTCATTCCATATTGTCCATTACATTTGACCGCAACATTTATCTGTGTAAACAATGATGACATTACTCACTTATTGTTGACCTTTCATTATGACAAATTCATTTGCAAATTTATGCTTATATATTTGGGATTTAATATTAGAAGTAAATTAATATGAAAAAAAAGAGGGAAAATCGCAATTATTTCATTGTAATAATTTGAATTA